TCCTCCCCAAAACCGAAAATGGAAGTATTTTTTATATTGCAAACTATAAGCGATCGTAAACTGGACAGTTGACATAGTATTTTATTGTCACCGTACACCCAAACACAAAAAATATCATATTTATAAGCTAATTTTTCAATATCAGAATTGAACTCACTTATACTATTTTCATATTCATCACTAGAAGCCGTCGCCGGTGTATAGTGCAACTCATCATCGTCGTTATTATAGTTTAAATCCAGACGGTCATCAGTATGATTTACAAGACTTAAGAAGTTACACATTAATGTTAAAACCCAAGTATAAAGTTCGAAATTTATATCTTCAGGTGGTCCTACTAAATTCATATTTTCTGATATTTTCTTTATAACATCATTTCCTTCAATAGTTTTAACAACATCCTCCAATATTTTATGCCTTATATTAAAACAGTTAAATCCTATTACATCATATGCTAAAGCAAGCAGACCCCCTGCGAGCATTAACACAACAATATGAAGCCATTGCTGGGACTTATTATTGGATTCCTAATTATAAACCACCGGGTTTTAATTCCACAATGATGACTCAAATAATGCATAAACTGAAAGATACAGTTATTATGCAAGATGATAAAAAAAGAATTACACAGGCAATGGCCGAAAAATTACATATAAAAATATCAAATGTATTTATGGAAGTATGGCTTCATAATTATCGTATTAGTACAGGAAGGAAGAATATTCCTTATTTTCCAACACCGGCACCACGTTATTTTGTACTTATAACACCATCCCTAGATGATGATATTTATAATATTCTATATAATACATATGGTAGCAATTTTATACGTGCATATAAACAGCGATATACTAATACTTTTGTTGCACCTAATGGTCAAATCTTATCCCAATCAGAATTTCCCCAATTAATGGAAGAAAGTGAAGAAAGTAGTGATTTTTATGAGGATTTAATTAATCAATAATTCTCCTACTCGCCCATCATCCCTTCTGTTCTTTAGTATTAAAATAAACTATACAAATTACATATACATATATATATATATATATATATATATATATATATATATATATATATATATATATATATATATATATATATATATATATATATATATATATATATGTATATATATATAAATATACTAAAACCCCTACTATATAAATGATATAGTATAATATTTTTGTTGTTGTTGTTGGTCGTGTTGGTGGTGTTGTAGACAATTCTTTTTCATTCATAATCCTATAGTTTGTATAAGCTTGTATTAATTCATCATAGAGTCTTCTACAATACTTGTTTTTAGTCAGTATTTTGCAGTCTTCTAATTCTAAACTCTGGCGCCATGGGGAAAATGATAATAAATTTTGTTCATTGATTCTGCAATCTTCTAAATTGGGACCCTGTTGTTTTAAGCAGTAGTTATAATGAATATAATATTTCACACAGCAGAGTAATTGGATTTTTCTACAGGTACTGCTGTGCATTCGACAGTATTCTAATGTTTCGCACTCGATGCTAAATACATGGCATTTTTCTAATTTTTGGTCAGGTATTATTCTTTTTGTCCTTAATTTTTCATCATCAGCAGATACTTCTGTATCTTCTAGTTTTTTTTTATCCCTCCGTGTCTGTTGTCATTGATGTTGATGTTTTTGCATAATTAATATCTACATTTATTGATCTGCTCATTTCCTTCCTCAATGGAAGTGTTTTTTCCCAATAATAGGTGTTTTCCCAATAATAGGTGGGTTGCCTACACCAACCACTAATGTTTTCTCCAGAAATTTGTTTGGTAACTTCCGAGGATAAGAGTTCATTATTATTCATCCAACGATACAAGCTATTACAGTATACATAAGATTGGCATAATTCATTATATTTGCAACAGAGTTCTTGAAGTCTTCTGCAGAACTTGCTCTTAGTGCATATTTTGCAATCTTCTAAAGTTTTGATTTGTTTTACATCAGAGGATGATAATTCTTGTTCATTCATTATTATCCCACAGTATGCATAAGCTTGACGTAATTCATTGTATTTGCAACAGATTTCTTGAAGTCTTCTACAGTACTTGTTCTTTGTGTGTACTCTTCATTCTTCTAAATTTGGGCCCGAATAAGCTTTACAGTAATTAAATTGATTATAATATTTCCAACAACAGAGTTCTTGGATTTTTCTGCAAATACTACTGTGTATTCTGCAATGTTCTAATGTTTCGCACTCGCTGCTATAAATAAAGCATTTGGGGACCAGTAATGTATCTTCTGTTGTTGTAGTTTTCCTCGAATTACCGGTGATTACTCTTGTATCTTCTATTATAGTCGTCGAATCACCAATAGCTTTTATCGTCGTTTCCTTTTCACTTGTTGTATCTGTATCTTTAATCGTCGTCGTTTCCTTTGCATCACCTGTGGTATCTTCTATTTTATCAGTCTTGGTGCCTTCAACTTGTTTACCACCAGGTAGAAAGTATGCCTGAGGAGCTACGTCACCAGAGGGAACTGACGACACTATTCTTGGGCTTCGCCAAAAAATATATGTTGCATAACCGGGTTCATAACTACTATGTTGTTTTAATAGACAAAATACTATTAATCCAGTAATTATAGTCAGATTCATTATCAAAAATAGTGGGTATTTCTTTACTATAATATTCGACTCTCTTTCAAGGACTGCAACTGTCGGAACTATTCTTCTACAACAACATTGTTAATATGCACATTATTAAAGTCTTCTTCTTCTAACTCGATTATTCTGTTTCTTTTATTAAAATGAAATATATATATAAATACTGTAAACATTCCAATTATAATTATAATAATTCTTGCAAATTGTCCAGGACTAAATAATACTGTTGTTGTTATTGTTGTTGTTGTTGGTTCAGAATTTATTGATATTGTTGTTATTTCAAAGCTAGACACAGACACTGGTTCAGAGCTGTAAGACACTTGTTCAATACTTGTTTCCAAACTTGCTGTTGTTATTGATTGTTCGGAACTTGTAGAGGATTCAGAACTTGTTGTTATTGTTGTTGTTGTTTCAGGTTGTTCAATTGGTTCAGAACTTGTTGTTGTTATTGGTTGTTCGGTTGGTTCAGAATTTGTTGTTATTGTTGTTGTTGTTTCAGGTTGTTCAGTTGGTTTAGAACTTGTTGTTGTTATTGGTTGTTCGGTTGGTTCAGAACTTGTTGTTTTTGTTATTGTTGATTGTTGTTCAGTTGTTTCAGAACTTGTTTTTGTTATTGTTGATTGTTGTTCAGTTGGTTCAATACTTGTTTCAGAAGTTGGTGGTTGTTCAGTTGTTTCAGTTGTTATTGTTGATTGTTGTTCAGTTGGTTCAAAGCTTGTTGGTGGTTGTTGTTCAATTGGTTGTTCAGTTGGTTCAGAACTTGTAACTTGTATTAGTAATAATAAAAGACTACATCTTAACAACGATCCAGAAAACATAATGATAATCTGGCTGGCTGGCTGGTAGTCTGGGGAAGATTTAGGAAATAGTTTTACATGATTACTTTTTATATGTATGTAATGTATAAAATGGTGTTCAGATGTCAGATACCACCATATTAAAATTTTTATTGTCATTTGCATTTTTACAACTCTGGATTTGGATTATCAATTTTAGATTTTAACCACTCTTTTAGTGGTTGTATTTTATCTAGTATTCTTAATAATAACTGATGACATTGATTAATGATTTTTAGCCTCTCATCCTTAGTAAATAATAATATATTATTTTCTTGGAATATGTTTAACATTTTAATCCGCTCTAAAATATTCAATGAATTTTCTACCATTTTTTTCTGCATTTCAGTAACATTGGCATCACCTAAAATGTCATATATAAACCATGTAGTACCTTCACAATTATTATTATGTATGTTATTATATTTTTGTAATTTTTCAACTTTGGGAATTATTTCATTATATGCACTAATTTCATCGTGAAAGATTGTAATTAGTGATTGTAAGTCATCTACTTTGTTAGTTTCTTTTAAAATGAAGGATTTTATATTTAATCTATATATTTCTTTTAATAAATGTATTATATTAAAACGTTCAAGCCGTTCAATGAGTTCAGTTATATATAAATCTGGTAGTATAAGATTAAAATTATTTATATACACTAGATTAGACTGAATTGTTTTCTGGGCTTTAGTTAAGTATTTTTCGTTTAATTCATACAATACTCCAAGTGCTTGTATTTTAATTCCGCCGATAATTAAATTTTTACGTAAATCATTGAGAAAAGTCGAAAAATATGATTTTTTGTTATTTTTTATTGTGTTTGAGTAAGGTCTGGTTGTGTTGGTTGCAGTTATAAATTTATCAATATTGTCATCTATTTTGCGTAAACAAATATGTTGATCCTCAAATTGTTCGAAATATTCTACATTATACAAACACCTATCTATAATATTCCTTATATGATAAAGATGTCTTATTAAATCCTCACTTTTTTCTTCTAATTGAGGAAAAGGTTTTCTATAGCCCATTAATACTATAATAGCTAGTACCGCAATAAGTGTTATAATTCTATATATTATCGTAGTATTAATTTCCATTATTTTTTGTATGTTGTTAATACTTAAAAATATTTAAAAAAAATAAATAATCCCGCCGTTTCATTAACCAAATATAATTTTAGTTTTATTCTTAGCTTGGGGGGTTTACAGAATAAAAAATGAAACTGTCAGGAGATTCTTACTAGTATTTTAATAACTCTTTTTTCATTGGCTGGCGAAGGATGTTTATGGGTGGAGCTCCGGTTTTCAGGTTTGATGTGAACTTAAGTCATGTAAATATCAGTTTGTCCTGTCTATGTGGATTGAGAACATTGTTAAGATATTTCGTCCAAGTGGCTGTTAAATTAAAATAATCCACAAGCAAGTAAGTAAGTAATAATACTAGTATAGCTTTCAATAAGCTATAAAATTTATATTACAACCTGCTAAAGAAGCAGCCTAATCATTTTTATTTTTTTCTAGAGAATAATTATCGGAGATGGTTGCTTCATATAAAACTGGGGGGTATGCTGTGCGGCTTTCATTTGTTCGTGTTCCAGGAAATGGAACTGCCAAAGTAGCGGCGAAGAAATCAAAGTCTTTATGCTGGGATCTTGCACGTTCCTCAACAGTTGCTGCAGCTATCACAGTTGAACCAATGGTAATAACAACATTAATAGAATCCACAAAATTAATCCAGAAAGATGGACAAACTGGAGAAAAAAACGAAACTCGGAAAAGGTCGTACAGGGATCAAAATGCTGCTAGTAGTAGCAATAAGTGTATTTGTGAAGTTTATAAGTTAAAACAAGAGCTTGATAATGTAAGACCACAAAATCAAGATCTTCAAAAGCGATTAAAACTATTTCATGACCTGTTCAATAACAAAAAGCGATTGGTAGTTATGGTCAAGAATTGGGTATCAGAAAATTAATAATATACAAAATGTTTTTTAGTAATTTTTATTTCTTCCCTTCTCGAAAGAAACTTTATATAATTAATATTTCTCCATCTTCATTTTCTGATTGATTATTGGTATTACTATTTGTTATATTAGTTGTACAAGTAGGAGTAGTGGTGAGTGTGGTGGGTATATCAGTGGATTGTTGCATAAATAGTGGTGGGTGTGATTTTAGTAATACATTTTTATCAGGTATTATTAATTGATTGGAATCATCACTTAATTTATTTCACACATTAATATTTAAATGCCTATATCGGCGACTCGCTGCTAAATTAGCATTATCTCTCCAAACTAATTCCTTATCTTTCAAAAAACTTTTTGTATAATACTGGTCAGTACTTATCGTATTCTCTCTTATCTCTACTGATTTATCATCCCCACTTTCATTACCCTCTCCTTCTTCTTCTTCTTCTTCTTCTTCTTCTTCTTCTTCTTCTTCTTCTTCTTCTTCTTCTTCTTCTTCACATTCTCTATCTATAATTTTATCTGTTGTATTTCCTTGATTTACATAATGAGAAATAAACTTCTTATAACTAGAATGACCTAATATTTCACCTATGATTTTTAATGGCATAATTGTATCCTTTGACATTTGTTGTGATAACATATTAAAAATTCTAGTTGCATAATCAGCTCTACTGGAATGTAAACCAGCACCTTTGAGTTGTTCTTTTTCAGTTTCGTAATTTGATTGTTGTTTAAATTTTCTATTCTCAGCAATTAGATGTAAGGATTTTCTAAAAAATTTTTGTGTACTCTGATAACTTACATTAAATATCCTATCATTCAAAAAGGGCAGAAATGACTTGTTTCCTTGTGTTTTTGCATTTAATTTAAATTCTAAATATGGTATTAGATACTGTGTAAAAAAAATATAGGGTTCACCATGAAATATAGGAATATTTCGGTCTTTTCCTTGTTTTCCGTAATAAACGGGTAAAACAAATGACTCTGATTGAGGATTATAACTGTCTATAATATTTTGATAGGTTAATTTTTCAGTTTCCTTAGCTCTTAATCCTGTATGATATATAAGAATTAGTTTATAAATGTGGTCTCTATTAATACGGCTGTTATTCCAAATGTGAATAAGAGTCTGAGAAATTAGAAGACTGTCGAGAATTGGTTTATTATTTCTCCTAAGACTACCACATAACTTTGGTAGAGCTAATTCTACACCTAGAATAGGACCAATTAAATATTTATTTAGTGTTCGTATATTTGTTTTTCTTGTCTGAAATTTAATCTTACCATCTTGATTGAGGTATGTGTTGTAGTCTTCAACTATTTCTGTAGTTAATAAGGCTTTCCTTCCTATTTTATCAACTTTGAATCGTCCAAATTTTCTTATAATACTTTCATAGTTTCTTAGACTAACCTGTTTAAGCATACGAGTTCTACTATTACCAACAATTGTTCTTTTGGTACGAGGATCTATATATGGTTTATTATATTCATTTTGGAGACGATCTATATCATTTTCTTTAAAATAATTTTTTAATTCTTGAATAAATGTATTTTCCATTTATATATATTTTTATTTTATATAAAATTATTTATTTGTTAATAATATTAAAGTTTTATATTTTAATTTTTATTCTATATTAAAAATATAGAATAACAAAATGTATATTAAATATAATAAAAAGGATTATGAAGAAGATGAAGTAGAAGTAAGTGATGGAGATCAAGATGGTGATAATAAAGATGATAGTAATGATGAAGGAGACGACGATATAGAAAAGATAGATTCTATTAAAGAAGGTATGGTGGAAAATGTAGATTCTAGTAGTAAAGAAGCTGGTGGTGAAGAAGAAGAAATAGATTCTGAAGATGGTAAAGAAGTAATAGATTCTAGTAATAAAGGAGATATAGTTTCTAGCAGTGAAAAAGGTGGTGGTGGTGAAGAAGAAGAAATAGATTCTGAAGATGGTAAAGAAGTAATAGATTCTAGTAATATAGTTTCTAGCAGTGAAAAAGGTGGTGGTGGTGAAGAAGAAGAAATAGATTCTGAAGATGGTAAAGAAGTAATAGATTCTAGTAATAAAGGAGATATAGTTTCTAGCAGTGAAAAAGATGGTAAAGAAGTAATAGATTCTAGTAATAAAGGAAGTGAAAAAGATGGTGATAAACGAGATATAGATTCCAGTAGAAAAGAAGAAACAATTATTGATTCTGACATAGAAGAAGTAAAATTAGAAGATTCTAGTGTCGGTGTCAATAATGTAAGAATATGCAGAAAAAGAAGATTTGTATCAGGAAGAGGAGGAGGAGGAGGAAGAAGTAATGATGAAAATGGTAAAGGCAATAATAATGAAAGCAGAACTACAGTTTTTGAGAGAAAAGCAGTAAAAGAAGAGCAACTTTCTGGTAATGGAGAAGATGGTATACTAAGAAGGAACAAAAGAACAGTAGAGGGAAGAGGAGGAGGAGGAGGAGGAGGAGGAGGAGGAGGAGTAGGAGGAGGAGGAGGAGGAAGTGGTGATGAAAGTGATGAAGAAGAAAGTGATGAAAGTGGTGATGATGATGATATTTCTAGCAAATTAAATGAATTAAAAATATCTAAAATAACAAATTTAATTAATTCTGAAATATCCCGTATATTAGTAATAACAATACTCGTACTAATTATATTAGCTATGATGAATTTACATTGGTCTTTTCTTTATATTATAATATTAATAATATTTATAATGAAACCAGTTATTAGTAAAAATATAGCAATATTATTACATGATTATTGGGACATTGAAATATAGATTTTATTTACACATTTTAATAATAAATAATAGTTACAATTATTATTATTTTACATTTAAAATTTTTTTTATTACATGATTATTGGGACATTGAAATATAGAACACTACTTAATGTAAAAATGTACAAGATAATTTTACCATATTATCTACATAATCATGTTCTTTTAATCCAATATGTGCTGGTATCCACAAAAAATTGATTTTAAATTTTTTGTATATGTTACTATAATTATCTAAAATGGATTGTAATCCACTACGGGAGTCACAAATAATCAAACCATTACATTTATTGTTAACTAAATAATTTTTAGCATCCTTAATTCCTTCCAATTCACAACTATTACAATCAATCCAATTATTCAGACGACTCATTTGCGTTGCAATACATTTATTATATTTATAAACAATATAGGCACAACCAGCTGTTCCATCCTGTTGTACAGATCCGTCAATATATATAGTGACTATCTCAGTTTTACTGGAAAGTTGCTTGGTAAGTTGACCAATTTGTTTAATAGTCTTTTTCTTCTGTATAAGTTTGGGATTATATTTATTCGTCCGAGTATAATATACATTTTCAGTTGATTTCATCATAATTCTTCTTTTCTGAAAAAAAAAATTGATAAATTTATTTCACCACCACTAAAATTTCTATTTTTTTTTCTTCACAACAAATAAATAAAGCTACCAGCCTCTATTCCTCTTATGAAAGTAGTGTTGATAATTTTTTGTATAGTGAATTGATTCTTAGTGAGCTTACTTTAGTCACCATTATCACAATGGTCTCTCGTCTCTCGGGTCCTAATGAACTCTTCAACACTGGCTGCAACAGGCCCGGGTAAATGGTAAGGGTAATGCTTCAACGTGTCCTTGTAGTTGTAAACTGTCATGTGACACAAGAACTTAAGCATGGGCACGTTTTTCCATTGTTTCATCTGCAGCAGATCAAATGACGAAGGCTCCTCTACCTGTAACCCATCTTTAGTCATAGAAAGCCAGATGTCATAAGGTTTGTACTTATTGGTAATGATTGACTTCAAGAAAATTTGGGCTTCAAAGGTGATATAGATCTCTCCGCCTCCTGCACAGTCAAAACCAGTATAATCACAACCGGCGCCCATTTGTATGTAAATAAGGCGGTCGTTGTACACCATCCTACTGACAAATTCAAAGTCTTGGCCAGATACACCATCATCGTAGTGGTAGATGTAATAAAGACGATAGACTGCCTCTAAGTTAATCTTGAAATTTTCCAGTTCTTCGTCCTTCCACTCACACATTTCCCAGGGCGAGGTCCTCTTGTCTAACATGTATTGATATTCTAAGGCCGTTCCAATTAACTCGTGAATATCATCAGCACTTGTGATCTCAGATTGGACACTTTTAAAGTTTAAATGAGACTTTTTTAACCATATTAGTGGTTTTTTGGTGGAAAAACAAAACAGTGTACTGTGTCTTGTGTCTGTCTTGTGTCTTGTCTCTCTTGCAGCCAACGTTAAACTGACCAGCAACCCAGTGTCAAGCGTTACACAAATAAACTCGCAAGCAACAACAAGTCATAGATAGGCTCATCCGGTGTGGTATATTATTTCCGGTCAGAAGTTTTAAACTTTTTTATAAAAGTTAGCCACCACCACTTTTTTAACCAAATTTTTGAATTTTATATTTTTTTTTATTTATATTTTTTATAATTTTTTTATAATATATTTTTATTATTATCTTGATGTAAATCTGAAATATCTGAATCTAAAATTTCTTGCTTGTTAATATTAAGTAAATCATTCCGTTTTTGTGGAAAAGCATTTTTCCTTTTACGTTTTGATGTTGAGGACGAGGACGACGACGACTTTTGCACTTGAGGAGGTGTTTGTATGGTGGGAGGTAATAATTGCTTAGAATTCCTTATCTTTTTTTTTAGTCCAATATATGCATTAATAAATGGTTGAATTTTCTTTGTATTGGGAGGTACTTTTGTAGTAGTTGTTGTGGTTGTAACAGTGGATATAATACAATTATCTCCTTTTCTTCTTTCAAAACCTTTATTTTTTGGTTGTTTTTTATACTCTTCCTCTTCTTCTTCTTCCTCCTCTTCTTCTTCATCTTCATCTTCTTCCTCTTCTTCATCATAATCTCTTAAATCATCCATCTCTATCTCTGTCTCTGTATCTTTATCTTTATCTTCTACATTTCTTTTATCCTCATCTTGTATTTTTGAGGATTTATTCTTTTTAGGTGGTTGAGTCATGGGCATTGTAGTTTTGTGGTATAATAACTACTACAATTAAATGTTGTTTATATAAAAATATTTTCATTTCTGTTGTTGTTGTAAATAAGAAACAATTTTTATAATATCTAATGGGTTAGGAGAAAATTTATCTGGTCGAGCCCTACAAATTTGTTAAATATTTTGGGGATTTTCAGTACATAATAACACCTCATAAATCATTTCGTCTTCTAAATGTGAATAATCATATTCGATGAGAGAAATTGATCGAGGAACTCTATTATTATACAGTATTTTTTTACCTTGAATAAAAATATAATATGGAGCTAATTCATTTTTCATTTTATCAGACAGTAAACACAAAATATCCATTCGTTCAGATGCTTTAAATTCAGAGGATACTATATCTTCAGTTGCTAAAGGATTATATTTATGTTGATTTGTTTTATATAAATTAGTTTCAACTACAAAAAGAAAATCAATTAAAATATGAACAAGGTACTCATTCAATAAATGAATGTAAGATGTACTTGATATTTTTGTAGTAATACAAAAATGTTGTTGTGAAAATTGTAAAATACCACATTGTCCATCTAATTTTGGAAGTTTATATCTAAGAATTTTTTTATCATAAAATTTTTGAGTTTTTAGATTTGTACTATTACAATTTTCTCTCTCAATATTATTATCCCAGACTTCTTCATTTTCCTCCCTTATGTGAATAGGTGTACTATCTTTATGAAACTGTTTCATCTCTAGTGGAATGGGACTAAGAAAAGCATTTAGTCTCCATGAAGCATGCCAATATAAAGTTCCTGGGCGTTTTGTTTCTAAGGGGACTCCCTCTGAATTTAAAAGGAGGGGTGGTCCCGTTTTAATTTCACTCAAATTTTCATTTTCCAAGATCATGGGAAAAATTCTAGTATGGTCATTAGGTTTATAACGATGGTAAAGGATAGTTTTTGTTTCATAATCATGCAGATATGTTGTTTTTACACTTAAACTGGTCCCTTCTAAAAATGTAGCTAATCCAATTAATTTAGGACCAATGGTGTCACCATCACCATTAGCAGTAGCAGTTTCAAAAAGTTGTATAAAATAACTATTTTTTAAATTTTTTCCCTCTAAATTAGTATATACAATTTCCAAAGTCTGTGTATCTCTTCGGAATATAAGTGATTTATCTTTATTTTTTTTATACTGTATAAAAAAACAATTTTTATTAGGATCGATTATTAAATGATAATCATTTTCAACCATTTCTAAAACACGAGAAATGTAATTAGACCTTGGTGTTGATTCGCCTGGTGTACCATTTAATCGCACTTGAACTAAAGGGTGGGTTATATCAACAAAACGCCGACATTTTGTTTCTGTATGCATACTCTCTATTGTGTCCTTATAAATAATAATACTCGGATTGTTAATTTCTTCCATAATTGCTGTAAAATGTATCTGAATCTTGTGGTGGGATAAATTCTTATCTGACATAACTGTCACACTTTCAATGCTAATTGCTACATATAATTTAACCTCATTCTTATACATTGAGTATTTTTGTGATGCGTAACCTTTCAATATTTCATCTCCGAGTTGTATCCGTTGAGAAACAAATACAGTACAAATTAATACCTCATCTAATATTACTGAAAATCGAACTTTTCATCGATTCATTATTGCGATATATTAGAGGAAATCCAATCAAATAAATATTTATTATTACTTTCTAAATACTTTAATTTTGTTTTAGCGGCGGCGGTGTTATTTCTTTAAAAATATTCTAAAATAAAATAATTATCCACATATTCTGGCGATAAACTGTTTATATTCTCTTGTAACTTATAACTATGAAAACTTATTAAAACAGAATCCAACGCATTTATTAAATGTTTCCAGATTTTTTTATAAATTGTTTTAAACAGGACAATAATTGGATCATCTTTTTTTAATACTTTCAATGTATTAAGATTTTCAATAAACTTTCGTTTTTGGGTATTGTCTAAAATTACTTTTTCCCCCAAAATTTCTAATATACGTATTTGACGTTTTAATCCACTCGTATGGTCCTTATTACCCATTTCTAATAATAAATATTCAGATATAGAATCTAAAACGTGAAATAAGAACATATTGGTAGAAATTATATTTTTCATTTTATTAATTATTGAATTATCTATAATATTAAATTGATCGATAATATAATTAATTTTATTACTAAATTTTTGGTTAATGTTCATTTTTCTAGTTTATATTTTTTTATTTTTTGAATAAATTCCCCAAAAATATGTATTTCTTCTATAACGGCTCCTTTTAAGAAGTTTTTGTTATTTTTATTTATAGATTTTGTAAACGCACGAATTATAGATGTTGGTGCATATCCAATAAGATGTATACAACCGTAGTTATGAATTAATCGCGTTATTTCTACAGAGTGTTTACCATATAAGACTTAAGTTTGACATAATCCATATGGATTCATACAGGAAGGATGACTTAAATTATCTATGATGTCATTTTTTGTTTCTTCAGTCTCCTAGTTGTTTACTACCCCACTTTGATCAATATTTTCTCCATTATTACAATCAAGATTCGTTTTATTTTGTCGATAATAATTTAAGGAAAGACGGGGGGTTACAATGTACTTATTTTTTTTTCTTTTTTAGGAATAGGATACCTTTTTTAGTTGTTGTTGGCGGCGACATCAAAAGAATATTTCCATTAAGTGTAGCATAATTACGCGCCAATAAATGTCTTTGATGTATAAGAGATCCACCACCATTTAAGATCCATACCACTGTTACAAATAAAGAATGAAATAAATCTAAAATCATTTTCGTATTTTCCTGTAATAAACGTACATCCAAAAGATGTTTACTGTGGTCATTGTTACAGAATGAAAGACCCTCAGTTTCTGCTAAAATCTTCTTTGTCTTTGTTATATCTAATGATAAAGCATGTGAAAATATAAGATCTGTTATTTTGTTTCATTCTTAATGGGGTGATAAAATAAAATGAATCAAATTTAAAGATATTAATTTTAATTCTAATAAATTATTTTTATCATTAATAGCTAGTACACGGTTAGGATGAATTAAATAAGGTAAATACATAGTCTCTTGAAATACATTTTTAATCCTTTCAATTAAATTTTCAAAAGCTTGTAAATAGTTTATTTTTTCTGAAAAATTACATATTCCCAACAAAGTTGCATTATTATTATTTTCAAAGCTAAAAAACTCCACTGATTTCCCATTTAGAGCTTTAAAACATAAAGATGGTTTACAAATAAGAGATTCTACTTTAAGTAAGAGAGGAGGTGACTCTAATATAATATTAGCAGTTATTTTGCCAGATACCTCATGTGTAAAAATG